CCACCCACATGACAACTTACAACCATCCATAACTCCAGTTTCAGGAGTGACACCCTCTTCTAGCCTCTGTAGGCTTTGCACAACATGGGTGACTTAAAAAAAACTCTCATACACATAGTATTAAAAGAAATATATTAAAAAAGAATAAGTTACTATAATTCACTTGTTCACAAGTTTTTGTGTCAGCATACATTTTCATTTCTCCTAGGAGCAGAAAATGCTGGGTCATATAGTTACTGTGTTTTTTCTGTTATGTCTGCATGTAGGTAAGTGCACCCATGTTGTGCAATGCCCATGGAGGACAGAAGAGGCTGTTGGATCCCCTGGAACTGGAGTTATGGGCAGTTGTTAGCTGTCATGTGGGTGCTGGGATTTGAACCTGGGTCTTCTGCAAGAACAGTCAGTGTTCTTAAACACTGAACCATCTCTCCAGCCCCAGTACCAGTCTTTTATAAAGTGGCTACATCATTTTACATTCCACCTGCAATGTATGAGAATTCCAATTTTCCCACAGCCTTGCCAACACATTATCCGACTTTAATTATAGCCATACTAGTGAATATGAAGTGATAAAGTGATAACTCATTGTGATCTTTTTTTTTTCCTCTTTTTGAGACAAGATCTCCCTGTAGTGGGGCTGGCCTGGAACTCACTGTGTAGACCAGGCTGGCCTCCATGTCACAGAGCTCTGCCTGCCTCTGCCTCCCAAGGGCTGGGATCAAAGGTATGTGCCACCATACTTAATTGTGTTTTTATTTGTGCTTCCCAGGTAGCTAATGATGCTGAGCATCTTTCACCTTTTAATGTGTTTGTTGACCCCTCCCCCTCACACCTTTTTTTTTTTTTTTTTTTTTTTTTTTTTTGGAGACAGGGTCTTGCTCTGTAGCCCAGCTGGGCCTGGAACTCAACTATGTAGCTCAAGCTGACCTTGAACTCACAGAGATCCATGTGCCTTGGCCTCCAGAGTGCTGAGATTAACGGTGTGCGGCACCATGCCTAGTTTTGTTGACCATTTTTATTTCTTTTTTGTATAGCTTCTTTGAGAAACATCTATTCAGATTATTTTATGTTTAAATTGGGGTATTTGTCCTTTATTATAACTTCTAAGTGTTCTTTTTATCAGAGGCTAGAAAGATGGCTCAGCAGTTATGAGTTAAGATCATTTTGTGCCTCCAAAGTAGATATTTTGATAAAAATTGTTATGAATCATAGATCAATTGTGAAGTATTACTTCTTTATTAATTCTTATGGTCTATGAACATGGAGTATTTTTATTTATTTAAACAGTATTTTCTAATTTTCAGAATATGAGGGATTTTCATGTTTTGGTTGTTAGCCTTAGCCTTTAAACGGTTGTGCTATCCCTCCAGTCCTGAGGGATTTTTTTTAAAACATGCATTTGGGGGGGGGGGGGGAGAAAGGGAGGGAGGGAGAGAGAGAGTGGGGGAGGGAGGGAGGAAGAGAGAGAGAGAGATACAGATAGACAGACAGACTTGTATGGTGGTCAGAGGACAAGGCACAGAAGTCGGTTCTCTCCTCCTATCATGTGGGACCTGGGTTTTGAACCCAGGCTTTCAGGTTTGGCAGCAAGCGTCTTTACCTGCTGAGCCATCTTATTGGCCCAGAATATAAGTTTTTGTTGTTTTTTAAGTAGAATCTTTTTCTTTCTTTCTTTCTTTCTTTCTTTCTTTCTTTCTTTCTTTCTTTCTTTCTTTCTTTCTTTCTCTTTCTCTCTCTCTTTCTCTCTATTTCTTTCTGGGTTTTCTGTTTTTTAATTTTAATTTTTTAGGTATGTGTGTTTTGCCTGCATGTATGTAGCTGCACCATGTGTGTGCAATGCCTGAGGAAACCAGGAGAGGGCATTGGATCCCCTGGAACTGGAGTTTTGGACCACCATGTGGGTACTGGAAACCTAACCTAGGTTCTCTGCAAGAGTAATCAGTACTCTTAACCATCTTATCCATCTCTCTAGCTTCTGGTTGTCTGTTTTTTGTTTATTTTGTTTTGTTTTTATATGATCTTGCTAAAGTAGGCTATCCTGGCACTGAACTTGAAATGATCCTGCCCCAGCCCTGAGTGCAGGGATTTAGAGGCATGTACTACCTGCCCAGCTAGAATTCTCCTCCTCCGCCTCCGCCTCTTCCTCCTTCTCCTCTTCCTCTTCTTCCTCCTCCTTTTCCTTTTAAATTTTATTATTTTTATTTCATGTGTATGAGTGTATTGCCTGTATGTACCTGTGGGAATTGAACCCAGGTCTTCTGCGAGAGCAGCCTGTCTTAACTGCTGAGCCATCTCTCCAGCCCCTTCTTTTTTTAAATGTTTGTTTTATCTTTAATTATGTGTGGGGGTGTGTCCACATGAGTGCATATGCCCTTGGAGATCAGAGGTGTGGATTTCTTGGAATCTGTCTTTGTTATTTGTGCTGTTTGGACTATACCATCTCAGAATACATAAAGGCTGCACTTGGAATAAGCATTTATTTGTTGATAGTCTGTCAAATAAAATCTAGATTTTGGTATTATTGCATAATAAGATCTTTCATAGAAGGTACAAGGTATAGCTATAAAATAAGATTAATTTTCATAGGAATGAATCATTTTACTTATGCTTGATAATAGGGCAGCAGTGAATCTCAGTGTAAGTACTTAAAATGTTTTGTTAATTAGGACATTATTTCATAATGGTTAGGCAGCAGAGTTTAAGGGATGTTCAAATTGAGAGTGGTTTGTTCAATTGGCAAAAGAGATCTTGTTCTTCATTTTCTCCTCATCCTTCTCTTTTTTCTCCCTTCCTCCCCTCCCTCTTTCTCTCCCTTTTTTCTTCCCTCCCTTTTTCTCCCTCCCTTCCTTCTCCACTTCATCCTCCTTCAACTCCTTTCAGTATTGTTGTCATCATTATGAGGTCTTGCTTTGTACTTCAGGTTTGTCTCAAACTCATGATCTTCTTCCTCAGCTTCCCAACTGCCAGGGGGTTACAACTATATGCCACCATACATGGCAGAAGAGGTGTTTTAATGATCAGTTTTGTTGTTATTATTAATTTTTAAAATATTATTTTTATGTGTATGAGTGTATTGCCTGCATGTATGTGAGTGTACCCATGTGTCGTGCAATGCTGCGGAGGTCAGAAGAGGGCTTCAGATTCCTCTGGAACTGGATGGAGTTAAGGACGGTTCATAGCCACCATGTGGGTGCTGGGAATCGAACCCCTTCCTCTGCAAGAGCAGTCAGTGCTCCCAACTGCTGAGCCATCTCTCCAGCCCCTAATTTTGTTTTTTGAGACAGTCTTAGCTTTAAAGTCAACTATGTAATGCAGGCTGGCCTCTTGTTCATGGTGATCCTCCTGCCTCAGCTTCCTGAATGCTGACAACCACTTGCAATCAACAGACCAAATGTCAGGCAAGATGTTTTTGTTTTTTTTTTTTTCAATTTTTTTTTTTTTTTTTTTTTTTTTTCAATTTTTTTTTTTTATTATTTTTATTTTATGTGTATGAGTGTATCGCCTGCATGTATGTGAGTGCACCTGTGTTGTGCAATGCCACGGGGGTCAGAACAGAGCTTCAGAGTCCCCTGGAACTGTAGTTAAGGACAGTTCTTAGCCACCATGTGGATGCTGGGAATTGAACCCAGGTCCTCTGCAAGAGCAGTCAGTGCTCTTAACTGCTGAGTCATCTCTCCAGCCCTGCGGGGTTTTTTTTGTTGTTGTTCTGTTTTTTTGTTGTTTGTTTGTTCGGGCTTGGGGTTTGTTTCGTTTTGTTTTGTTTTTTGAGACAGGGTCTTACTTTGTAGCCCAGGCTGGCCTGGAACTGACTGTGTAGACAAGATCTCTAACAGAGATCTGTCTGCCTCTGTCTACTGAGTACTGGAATTAAAGGCATGTACCACCTCGCCCATTCAAGAGGTGTTTTAATAGTTAATTTTTTTGTTTATTTGATTTAATTTATTATTATTGGTCTTTTTGAGACAAGGTCTCCCTGTAACCCCAGCTTGCCTGGTAATTTGCTATGTAGACCAGGTTTGCTTGGATCTCACAGAGATCTATCTGCCTGCCTCTGCCTTGAGAGTGCTGAGATAAAAGGCATGAGCCTCCTCGCCTGTCTTTTGATTATTTTAGTGGGAATCTGTTCTGCACATAGTAAAAAATTTCTTAACTGATTTGGGAGGAATGTATCTCTTTTCTGTTTAAAGGTGAAGTGGATCCTAAAGAAAGGATAGCACGTCAACGAAAACTATTACAGAAGAAACTTGGACTTAATATGGGAGAAGCCATTGGAATGAGTACTGAAGAACTCTTCAATGATGAAGATTTGGATTATACCCCAGCTTCAGCAGCCCTTGTAAACAAACAACCTGTAGGTAAAACATTTGGTCGAGTGCAAGTAACAGCACAAAGGGTTTGCTTCATTTGCTAAGCAACTGCTTTAAGCAAAAACTCTTTGCTTAATTCTGCTCCTTGCTATTTCTTCTATAATTGTGTGTATAAATTGAGCATTTGGTGACAGGTACTATGGACAGAAGGTCAGCCTCTTTCCTATATGTCAGACTGTTAGAGAAATGTTGTGCTGGATCTTTTAGGTTTCACTGATACTAAAAAGTCCTAGTTGCTCAAATTGTTCTTTGGTAGAAAAAATACTTTTGGGGGAGAGTGAGAATAAGGCCTATCGTGGATATAAAGATAATAGACGTCTTCAGCGCTAGGATCCATTTTCATAATTGAGAAATGTGACACCCACTTTCAATATTTTTTTTAATTAATTAATTTTTTTAATGTGCATGTGTCTGTGTGGATGTATGTGTGTCTGTCCATATGAGTACAGGTACCCCTGGAGGCTAGAAGAGGGTGTCAGATCCTTCTGGAGCTGGAGTTACAGGTGATTATTGTGAGCTACCTGATATAGGTGCTGGGAATCAAAATCCTGTGCTCTGCAAGAGCAAAAATTGCCCCTGAGCCATCTCTTCAGTCCCCAAAAGTGATTTTTTTTCCCTTTCTTTCCCCAGTTGGCTCAGACTGATTCACATCACCCGAATCAGTAGCCTAATGTGTGCAAAATGGAATGTCATCACTGCCGCAAAAGTGATTTCTTACCAATAATTCAGGGCCAAAATTTCCTCGTGTCCCACAGGAAACCCTTTTAGAGTGCTTTTTTTTCCTGAAATTGTCTGTATACGCCCAAGTATACATACATCTTTTGAGAAAGGGTCTCCCTGCAGCCTCAGCTGGCCTGGAGCTCACCATGTAGACCAGGATGGCCTTGAATTCACAGAGATCTTCCTTCCTCTGCCTCCCGAGTGCTTGTATTAAAGGTGTGTACCACCACTCCTGGCTCCATATATGCATCTTTTAAGTCATGTTGCCCTTTTCCCACGTCCAGTAGCTTTGTATATCAGTATATATGGATTAAAAGTGTGTGTGTGTGTGTGTGTGTGTGTGTGTGTGTGTGTGTGTGTGTGTGTGTTATACATATGTGTTTGTGTGGCTGTGTGCAAGAGTGCTTGCAGGTGTATTTGTACCTGTGTGCTTGTGTGTGGAGGTCAGAATCTGACATTGTCTTGATCTTTCACCTTATTTTTTGAGACAGGGTTCTCAGAATCTGGAACTCATCCATTCAGCTTGGTAACTGGCCAGTGAGGTCCAGAGATCAGCCAGTCTCTACTCCCCAGTGCTGGGGTTACACCTCTGACTTTTGGGGTGTGACTGCTGGAAATCTGAACTCAGGTTCTTATGCCTGCACAACAGGCACTTTACCAACTAAGACACTCTCCACCTCCAAGTACATTCTTTTTTGACAGCCGCATTCCATTTTGTGGCTGTGTCGTAGTTTCACTTTCTCTTTTGTGCCCCCCCCCCCGCCCCCAGTCTTTCCATTCTCATTGGATGCGTATGAATGTCTTAATTTTCTCCTCTGCAGTTGATTTTTAAGCTCTAGTAAAGGCTGTGGTTCCGTTTCACATACAAATGAAATGTTATATTTCAAGGGATTCTGTGCTCTTTCTCCTGTCCTCTTAATATCTTTTACGATTCCATTAACAATTCTTGCTTACAGCCAGATATAGTGATGCATGTCTGTAATCCCAGCACTCTGGAGGCAGAGGCAGAAGTACCATCAGTTTGAGACCAACCTGGGGTACATAATGAGTTCCAGGCTAGCTTTGCTACATAGCAAAGCCCCCTCCCCAACCTCTCCCCTACCCTCCCATCCCCACATACACACACATAAAATTATTGCTATATTGCCCAGACTCTTTTCCCTTCCTGCATCAGCATCAAGTACCACCATGCCTGCCTATCATGTAGTTTTAGAGCATCTTCAGTCAATAGAAGAGAGAGCAAAACAAGTAGGCAGAGAGGGAGGGAGGGAGAGGAAAGGGTCCTATGGCTGAGTTGACAAGAGGATACTGGACCAGTCAGTCACTTAAGGTTAGAATTATTTCTTTTTTTTTTTTTTAAATATTTTATTTATTATTTTTATTTTATATGTCGTGCAATGCCTCAGAGGTTAGAAGAGGGCTTTGGATTCACGTGGAACTGGAGTTAAGGACGGTTTATAGCCGTCATGTGGGTGCTGGGAATCGAACCCGGGTCCTCTGAAAGAGCTGTCAGTGCTCTTAACCTCTGAGCCATCTCTCCAGCCCCTATTTCTTTTTCTTTAACCAGAAGATGATCATCAGTTTCTTTTATTGGGATCTTTGTTTTCATAACTTTGGTGATACTATGATTATTCTGAAATAATCACCTCATCAAAACCCACTCCTTGCTGGGTGTGGTGGCACATGCCTTTAGTCCCTGCACTTGGACGGCTGAGGCAGGCAGGTTGTTGAGACTGAGGTCAACCTGGCTCTTTTTAAAAATGTTATTTACTGTTTTTATTTTATGTGTATGTGTGTATTGCCTGCATGTAGATAAGTGCACCCGTGTCGTGCAATGCCCGCGGAAGACAGAAGAGGCTGTCAGATCCCTTGGGACTGGAGTTATACACAGTTGTTAGCTGTCATGTGAGTGCTGGGATTCGAACCCGGATCTTCTGCAAGAACAACCAGTGTTCTTAACAGCTGAGCTCTCTCTCCAGCCCCCCAACCTGGTTCTTATAGTGAATTTCAGGCTAGCTGTGACTACAGGGAGATCCTGTCTCAAAAAGACTGAAAAGAAAAAACCATCCCCCACCCCCAAAGCCCTCTTCTTGCTACGGTTATTCATTTATGTCACACATGCAGTATAAAAAGTTAAGAAAACAAAGACTTAGTCTGTTGAGAATCAGACAAATGAGGAACAGAATGATTTCTTTTTAGCTTTAATTTTTATTTTTAATTTTTGATACAAGGTTTTGCTATATAGCCCTGGATTTCTTGAACCCCAGTGATCCTCCTGCTTCGGCTCCCTGTGCCCCTGGTGCTGGGGTGTACCAGCATACCTAGTTTGATAGTAAAATTATGATGCAGCCATACAACATAATAGTGTAATACTAACAAAAAGAGTGTACTTAGTCTGTATATATTAAAAATTATACACCTATGTCTCTACTAAGGTTGAGGCCAAAGGTATTTAACTTCAGCAGTTCAAACTCAACATTGTTTTGCTTTTTTAGACCCTCCAGGCAGCTGAATTGATTGATTCAGAATTCCGATCAGGAATGAGCAATAGACAAAAGAACAAAGCTAAAAGAATGGCCAAATTATTTGCAAAACAGAGATCCAGGGATGCAGTGGAAACAAATGAGAAGAGGTAATCTTTCTGCTTATTATCTTGAAACAGTAGGCCCTATAGCTTTAATATTTGTGTGCTTGATTTACCAAAAACATTTTGATGACATTTGTTTAGCTAAACTAAATAGTACCATTTGTATTGTTGTGCTCAATTGTGAGAGTATTTATTGTTGCTAGGGACTAAGATTGCTATTAGCTTCAAATGGAGACTGAAGATTGACAAAGAGGAGAGCTTTCCAGTCAGAGGGAAAGGTGTAAATTTAATACAGAATGTATTTAAGATGTATGTGTTAATTATGGAATATTCAGTGTGGCTAGAATAAGTGCATTGAAAGGAGAATACATTCAGAGAGATGGTCTAGTAAAGTGAGAAGTATTGTCAGGGTATAATACCACCTGTTCTCTAGGCTCAGGGCAGTGCTAAATAGTGGGTAGTAATCCAGGCGAAATTGTTATTTACTATAGAGGGTGGTTTAAAACTGTCTCTTAGAGATGTTCTCTGAGGTGCTTGTTAAAATGCAGATTCTTACCTAATCTTCCAAATCTATTAAATCAGACTCTTTAATAATGTTCAAGAAATGTTTGAGTAAATGATGAATTAATCAGTATTGGAAAACCTACAAAATTAGGGCTTTGTTATATATAGATGACTGTACTTTTCTTCTGTTCTTTCAATTCATGTAAGGTGTTTTCAGTGTTTTAAGAGCTAAGCACAAAGAGAGATAAATAATAGACATCTCCTTGGTAGAAATCTATACTTGAGGTTGTTTGTTTTTTTAAGTCTAAACTCTATTGAACTTGTTAACTATAGGGTTTTAAAGCCGAACAGCTGGTTAAAGTCGTATATACATTGAGCATCAGTAAGCCAAAATATTCCAAAAATCTAAAGCTTTGAGCATAAGTTTCAGATTTCAGAAGTTTTAGACTTTTGTGGTAGGGAGACTAAAATCTGGACACTATTCCCAAATCCAATGAAGTCTAAAATCAAAATGCTTCTGGTCCCAGACATTGTGGATAAGAGAAACTCATCTCGTGCTCATCTAATAATAAATGTTCCTATTAGCTTTTATTCATGCTTTTGTCCATATATTTGAATGTTTTCAAAGTTCATGAATCATTTATTCCAAATATTTATTAAATATTTTCTATCTGTTAAGTAGTGGTTTAGTTCCAGAGTGTACAGTAGTGAATACAGTAGATGAGAATTCCTACCTTCGGTGCTTATAAGGAAGACTGGTGTGGCATAAGATAAAGAAATGTCTTACGTGTGTGCATATATGTATAATATATTCATCCAAAAGGGTAGAAATGGGAAGAAAGACAAGATGAGGAAGAGAAATGTGAAACATGGGCATAGAGTTTGAAATTTTAGTTTGGATTTCTAAGAGGGTTTCATAGAGGTGACTTTTGAGCAAAGATCTAAAGGAAGTACGGGTGCTAACTCATACTATCTAGGAAAAAGGACATGACAAATGGAATCATAAAAGCAAGTACCTGGAAGTAGAAGCTTGCCTACTGAGTTTAAGGATATAAGATGGCCCAGCAGGATAGAGATTGGAGAGAATGGAGGGAAGAAGAATAGGGGACAAACTGAGGAAGGCTTAAATTTCTTTCCCAGTCTTTTTTTTTTTTTTTTTTTTTTTTTTTTTTTTTTTTTTTTTGTCTTTAGCTCCAGCTGTCCTGGAACTCACTATGTAGACCAGGCAGGCCTCTAACTCAAAACGATCCACCTGCTTCTGAGTGCTGGGATTAAAGGCATGCACCACCATGCCTTGCTTCTTTCCAATATTTTCTTATTGGGCTAGCTTTAGTATTTTTATTTATAACACTTTTCTCAGTTTTCTATATACTTTTTATTAGCAGTTAGTATCTGTAATTTTTATTTTTTGGTCTTTTTGAGACCGGGTCTCCCTGTAGCCCCAGCTGTCCTGGAACTCACTGTGTAAGACCAGGCTGGCCATGAACTCAAAGAGATCCACCTGCCTCTGCCTCCCAAGTGCTGGGATTAAAGGCGTGTACCACCATGCCTGGCTTAAAGTATCTGTAATTTTTAAGAACTAGTATTATTACATTGTCTTACCCATGTTACAAAAACCTAAAAAGTCATTGTTGTGCTGGACTAGATTTAAATTGTTGGACAAAGAAAGTTTAAAATTAAAAGAAGAGGAACATGTTGTGAAGAAGAAAAAACAATCTATTTGAGATTTGAGATTGAATTTCTAAAGAAAATATTCACTGACTTAAAATAGTGAGATATGTTTTGCTTAAAAAATACTGAGTTAATTTTAGTTGGCACATGATATTTTTAAATAAGCCACATAAGCAGAATACAGAAAAACACCTGTGCAATGATTTTTTTTTTTAAA